ATTTCAGGTCCACAGATGAGAAGGTGGGGGTGGAAGGAGAGAAACTTTGGAAGCATTTGACAGGGAAAAGCTCTATTCCCCAGACAGCCCTGTCAAGCAGCTCTGTCGACACCAAAAGGAAGAAAACAAATAAATCGGAGGCTGTGTGAATGTCACAAGACCAGCATATAACTACGTACGGCACGAGGAGAAGTAAATACCAATAATTCACACTCTCACGAAATGTTTTAGAGTCGTATCTTCTAGTTATGCCAGAAGGAAAAGGAAAAAAAAAAAAAAGCAATGTGTAGGTAAATTTCCAAAACACTGGTCCAGGACTCACCTTTTATTCATAGTGCCAACCCTTAAAAAGCAGGTACAATAGGGCTGCATAAGAAAAACAGAGAGAGTGTGTGACAAGACTCAGGACCCATCCATCTAGAAATGGATCTAACATTCAGAGAACATTTCATCTCCGTTTAACTTTCTAACCCACAAGGGAGAATGCAGCCTTCACTCTGAGCAGATGAAGAATATCTTTAGACAGAAGGTGGAATTTAGCACTTTGGTTTTCTCTTCATGCTAAACAAATTGTAGCCACGTGCATCCCCAAATCAATTTAAGACGATAGTAGTTGTCTTTTGTTCCCATTTAAAAAAATCATTCCAAGCTTTTCTTACTCACGTAACTCTCCATCTGGACATGAACCGACTTGACACGTTCCTGGAGCCTCGCTGCCCTCTCTACACTATTTTCCCCAATGCTACCCAGCTCCGATTTGGCTTTGTGCTCAGGGCCACCACCTGTCCACCCCAGGCCTGGGTGTCTGCTCCAACGAGTGCCTTCTTGAAAACCTTACATAACTGCTTTTTTCCTCTCCCGTGAGGCTCACCTCACCAAATCTAATGGCAGCTCTGGCCCAGAATCTAGGAATGTTGTTCTAGATAGACCTGGCGGGTCTCTCTGCTCATTAACATGAGCTCCTCCTCCCTGCCTGGGAAGTCAGAACGCCCTGTCTTTCTGGAGCGATCAGTGTCCCGCCAGCTCAGGAAACAAGACCCTTGGTCTGGCACGAGAAATCTGGTTACCTCCCCATGGCCACAAAGCCTTCAGTTTTAAGTTTCAACAAATACTACTCTTCTAAAAGGCGCTAAGCACCAATAAAACCTCTGATAAAGAAGTATTGTTCTAACGTGCAGATCTGTAGGGAAGAAAAGGAAGTCCCCTCCTCCGGAAACCCACTGAGCCCTAGCAGAAGGCTAAGAAATTAAAATGTGTTGGGTTTATCCAGGTTCTGTAGCAAATACGCTATACAAGGACCTCAAAATGAAATCCAAAAACCCAAGGGGATAATCACAATATTTAGACACGTTATGAAGTTGAAGCAAGATTATAAGGAGTATATTTGAGATGCTTTCTGTTCAAGAGTCAAAAGTTTTGCATAATTGGGTAACTTCCTTGGCTCTTTTCTGTTTTCACTAGACTCTCTCTGGATGGTCTAGCATCTCTGATGGTTTCAATTACTTTACATATGCTGATGACTAACAAGTGCTTGTCTGCAGCTCAGACCGCCTTTCTGAGCTCTAGGCCCCTGCGGTGAGCTTTGAATCCATGTGGGCATCATCATTTTCCACTCCCATTCTGCTCTTCCTCTTGTATCTTGTGTCTCCTTAAATATCAACACCATCCCCCTGGCAGCTCGAGTCAGGTAGCTGAGCACCTCCCTGACCCTCCGACCCCAACAGCCTTCACATCTGGTCGTTATTTAAGGCCCAAGGATTCTGCCTCCCTCGTGTCACTCAAATACGCCCACTCTCTCTCCCCACTGCTAGCCGAGCTCAAGCACTCATCATTTCTCCACAGATGCACAACGGCCTCCTAGCCAGTCTTCCCTTTCCAGTGCATTCTTCACAGCCTGAAGGACCATTCTAAAGGGCAAAGTCCATTCAAAGGCCCTAGATGGAAACAGAAGTCCTTTGTGACCTACCTCCTGGCCATCTCTGGAAGTACTTCTTGCACCTTCTCTTAACCTCTGCACTGGAGCTATGGGAGTCCTCCAGTGTTTACTCTGCACTTCTCCGTGCCTTTGTACGTACTGGTACTTTCTCGACCCTTCTTGACATCTCTTTCCTAACTAACTTCTGCTTATCCTTCCAAATCCATCTCCCTTCAGGAAGTGTCCCCAAGCCGCCTTTGGGTTACTCACCCCTCCTTGTGTATTATGGCAGATGAGGTCCTGGTACCTACATGGTATTCTAACTTCACGGTGCTCTCTTTCCCTACGGGACTGAGAGAGAGCTCCCTGAAGGCTGAGGCTCTGACTTTTCACCTCTCAGTTCCCAGAGCTGTGCAAAGGGTCTGGCTAGTGTATGTCCTCAAAAGAGTTCTGTCCGTTGACTATGAGAAATGCCCTAGAATGAGGTCCCTGGGCACCTTCTTGCTGGAAACTGGCCTAAATTAAAGCTACAAAGGAGTAGATACTACTAAAGCGGGAAAATGTGTTCAAGCAAGCAAGGCACAGAGGCAGATTTTTAAGACGCGGGTCAGTTAGGTCTGATTATTGGGATGTGTCTCTCGTAAAGACAAAGAGAAGAGTCCTGGCAAGTGCTAACTTCACAAGAGCCTCTAAGGATGAAGACAGCCACTTGGGAGAGAGCCCACCCCGTGCACCTGCACACAGACACTCACGGGGCATATAGGCACGTGCTGCGGGGTTTAACAATCCCCACAGAAGCAAGTTGAGGAGTCTCCGTGTGGTTTGTTGCCAAAGAACAAAAAAGGAGGTCTTTCCTCCATTGTTTCAGTTCTGTAAATTCTTAATGTAACAACACATAGTAAGTCCCTACAGCTCTTACCAAACTTCTACCTAATTTTTTAAAATGAACTTTTGTTTTAATGTTTGTTTGTTTTTTCTTTTAATTTCTGAGAGAGAGAGAGACAGCATGAGCAGGGAAGGGTCAGAGAGAGAGGGAGACACAGAATCTGAAGCAGGTTCCAGGCTCTGAGCTGGCTGTCAGCACAAAGCCCCACACGGGGCTCGAACACACGGTCTGCGAGATCATGACCTGAGCGAAGTTGGGTGCTTAACCGACTGAGCCACCCAGGCGCCCCTTAAAAATGAACTTTGAGAAAGATGTTCATCCCTGACTTGGAAATGTCAGCCGTGTTGTGGGCTGCACAAATAACTTAAGTGTCAGCCAGTCCTTTGCTGAAAAGTTGCCTTCCTGGGTCCTACCTGCTTTGTTTTCTGCCCAGATCTCTCCAGCCTGTGCCATGCTCATGTATTTTAATGCTGTTTCCCTCCACTGGGATTGTTACTTACTCTGAATTTATCAGCCGGTCCTAACGATGGAAGAGCCTGTCCTAAAGGAAGGCCTGGCTTTTGGCTCCACAGCCCAGTAGAAACCTGAACAGCTCTCAGCCTGAGAACTCACGGGGGCAAAAGCAAGTTACCTATTATGTAATCAAGGGGAGCCTAGATTAGAGGCATTACCCTAAAATGCTATGTTGACGTGTAAGTAAACAGTTCTACTACCCTGTGGCGTAAAGCTAGCGCTAGGGGTAGAAATTATTACCAAACAAGTCATTTGATGGCTTTGTAGGTGACACTCAGCTAGTCTTCCAACATCTAGGAAAATGGTGCTTAGCGGAAGATGCGATTCTGCTGCTTAGGGTTTCTATCCTCCAGTGCAACTTAGCAACATTTTAATGTTTCTGAAATTAAGTGTGAACACTTTGATTAGAAACGCTAAATCACATCTGCAAAACTCCAGGGCACTAAAACACAAAACAAAAACAAACAAGCAAACTCTGGTTTGACAAAGCAGTCGAGTATCTTCTGTCTCAAACTTGCCACTCCTCTTCCCAGCCTCCTCTCAGCCACACACGTCTCCTTCTTTCCTTCGTGGACACTCAGACACGCGGGGATCACTTCCGATCTCTCCCTTGCCACTGTCTTGTCAGTCATACACTAGGCAAGACCGACAGATTCGGCTAGGACCACACCTTGCCTCTCTGCCTCTTTCCCTGACTTGGTCTGCGTCATCTCAGCCCTGGCCCACCTGATACGTTAAATTCTGCTTCGATTAGTAAAACAATAATCCTAATGTGGGTTGGATGCCAACCCATCCAACGCCACTGCTCATTTTCCTGAAACATGATGTCTTGAATCACGCCATTTGTCTGATCAAAAATTTTCACAGGAGTCGCACTGCTCATGAAACCAATCCTGTATCCCTGGATTTTTAACACACCTTTCTGCTCTGTGTTTTATTATTTCAACTATGGGTATATGTTTACTACCTTCCCCCCGCAATGGTGCCATCCTACCTCTGTGCTGCTGCTTGTGCTATTTCACCCAAACCACCTCGTTTGAGTGCTGGTTTCATTATTCACTAGCTTTGTGCTTCTGTTTCCTCGTTTCTAATATGAGGACCATAACAGCGCCTGCTTCAGGGGGTTTTGTGATGATTGCATGAGGAATTCCATACAAAGCCCTTAGAAGATCGCCAGCACAAAGTAAGTAGTCGGTAAATGTTAGCGATCATCATCATCATTATCATCATCCTCTTCAAGGACCATTTCAAATCCACCCCTTTAGTGAAGTCTTTTTAAATTGCCCAACTCAATGTTATTTTTTCCTCTTTTTGTACTTCTCTGAATAGCATTTGACATGTAATGCCCTGCCTTAGAATAGCGTGTCCACTTATCTTGGCCTAGGCTGGACTATACACTTATTGAGGCTGAGGAGATTTATTCATCATTGTACACTCGAAAGGACCTTCTATAGCACCTGGCACATCAAAAAGACTTAATAAATACGGGCTAAATTGAAATAAATTGATTTTACCATCTTAAAAACCCTGTTCCTCGAGCCAAGAGAAAAATAACACATAAAGATAAGTAAATGAAATGAGCACCTGGATAACAAGGATGTTACTGGTGAAAGACACTGAGATTGATGTCATTAGAATGCACGACTTGCCCTGATAACATCCTTCCGTCCATGTTCTCCATTGCAGGTCTGCCTAGTGGCGTATCTTGGTTTGTTTATGCTTTGTGTCTCGTATCAAGTTGACGAAAGGACATGTATCCAGTTTGCTATGAAAGTAAGTTGTTATTTTTTTTCTCTTTCATCATCACATGGAAAAAAACACAAGTACGAAATAAAAGAATGACTTTTAAAGGGTTGCATATCAGATTATTCTAGAAATTGCATTTTGAGGCAGCCCCCAAAAATGGGTTGGGAGGGCATTCATCCAGACCCCAAAGGTAATGCTGATTTATTTTTTAAGTCTTAATTTCCTGCACTAGGTTGGCATAGATCACATAAAGTCAGTCTTTTAATGCCCTTACAAGGAATTTTGAAAATTCATCAGTTCAGCGAAACACTCGGTCAGGGAAAAGGTGTCTCTATTACTGCCCACTTCCATATCTTGGGGGTTTTTAGAGTATTTTAATAGGGAAGCAGCCGAAGTGTATTTCCTCTGGTAGGTGGGATCACTGAGACAGAAAAAGTACATTGGGTGCATCCAAATGATCTGTGCCAAGAGCCTGAGGGTATGGTGGGGGGAGGTAGGTGGGCGGGATATGCATGGTTTAACAAGCATGTGTGTGTGTGTGTGTGTGTGTGTGTGTGTGTGTCTTTCATGTGCATGTATTTTTTTTTCCTCCAGTTAAAGACAGTGCATTTGGTTGGAGCCACTTCAAGTACACAGCATTTTCACTGCACAGTATAATCGACTCCAAAGGAAAACACAGACACACCCTTTTAGAGTTTAGGGAGATAAAAACCCAACTCAGCAATCAGAGCTAGTAGAAATCAAATTCCTACATTTTCTTTCAACTACTTATACCAGAGAACAAAGTGTTTTCTGTAAATCAGTTTGTTGGGGTTTTTTTTTGTTTTTTGGTCCACTCACACTGTTTACTTTTCCTTTATAATCAACCACATAACATTCGGATACTTCTTTGTTCACAAGAAAGCATAACACATAGGAATAAGTCACTTCCATTATTTAGAAATTACAAAGAGGCAGAAAAGATGTTTTATATTCTAGTATGGTTGAAGTGGTTGACATAAAAAAGCCAAGTGCTTATATTATATGTATATATATTTAAATCATGTTGTAAAGGGTAATTAATGGAATAAAAATGCTCGGATTATATTAACTAGCCAAAAAAAGAGCTGTCTACACCAACTTTATGATGTGATCCTACAGAAATTAAAAAAAAAAATAGCTCTCAGTGCATAGAAAAAAATGGCTATCTGTGAGGAGTGGGACGATGGTAGCATTTTGTAGTTTTTTCTCTAATTCTGAAATGTTCTCCAATAGTTAGACATAACTTTCTAATTAAAAACATAACAGGCACCTGAGTGGCTCAGTTGGTTAACTGTCCAACTTCTGCTCAGGTAATGATCTCATAGTTGGTAAGTTCAAGCCCCACATCGGGCTCCGTGCTGATAGTGCAGAGCCTGCTTGGGATTCTTTTTATCTGCCGCTCCCTTGCTCTTGCTCTGTCTCTCTCTCTCAAAAAATAAATAAACTTTAAAAAAAAATGGATTCTTTTAAAAAAATTGATAGAATTTGGTGGATATACCTACATTTGGAAATTTTACTTTTCTGTCTGAGGGTGTTTCTTAAGAAGGCTAGATAGAGCAGACATCAGTCCATGTTTGCTTTTTTTGTAGAGGTCTCTCTGAACACAGCTAGGCTTCGTGAGGAATAAAAAAAAAAAAAAAAAAAAAAGCAAGGAAACCTAATAAGAAATGGCCTGTTAAATTACAGGAACCTCTTTCACTAGGTAAAAAGTGCTCTAAGCTAGGTTCATCAGCTTATGGGAAATGCCCTGGTTTCCCCTCCAGATGCCCCAGTAGAGGCCCCAAAGCCATCTCAACATCTGCACTTAAAATAAGGAGCAAGGACAAAAATAAAATAAAATAAAATAAAAAAGTCACTGCCAATGTCAGCCAGGCTGAGAATTCCCCACTAGGAAGATCTCAGTAGCCACCTTTTTTCCCCCACCTGTGACAGACATTGACAAATACGGAGGCACTTTTCTCTTCTCCTGAATGTGACCTTTGGTGATGCTTGCTGCCAGCTCTCTAAGGTGCCCGCTACGTTATCTTCAGGTCTAAAATGAGCTTCAGTCAATCTCCAGGTGTTCCAAAGGCACAACAGGTTACAGCAGACTTTCCTTGTGTTTCCACACCACTGGGGGGTGGGGAAGGAACGAAATGTATTTTCAGCTTGTGTTTCCCACTAGCCTTGCCGCATTTTACGGTAAGTGCCTACGTACGGAGACCCCGGCCTGAGCTTTGTTGGAGATTCTTATTTCCCTGCTGTTGAAGACCCAGATGGCCAGGGCCAGCGGTCAGGGGGTGCTAACTGCGTCTCTCTGCAGCCCGAGCACGCGCGCGCACACCCCTCCTTTATTCTCGGAGACAATAGCCACGGGACTGTCTTTTCCTCGGAGGCTCGCTCGGTCCTCTCTCCGGCAGCCCCGCGGCGCCACCGGCGCATTCCTGCCTTCTCCCCGGGGCTCTGCCGGCGGCCTTGGCGGGGCCGTTCGGCCTCGGATTGGGCCGCCGGCCTTTCCTCGTGGCCCTGTTTTCTCGGGGCTCACCTTGATGATTTGCAGAAACGTGTCCGGTTCATGTGCTTGCAAACGCTCCCGGGCACATTCCCCCAGGAGGGCATTTAAGGCGCAGTCGCCTCGCGCCCACAGCCAGGAGGCCCCTGGGCTGCTCCGCCGCCCCCTCCCGCGCGGCGAGCGGCGGCGGGGCCTCACCACCCCTGCCACCCGGGAAGGTAATTAAATCGAAGCCGAACCGCCCTCCTTCCGAAGTCACCGAGCGTTGAAGCTGCAGCCGGGTACCAATTAGAGGCAGCGAGCGAGCGGAGCCGCGCCTGGGCGCCGCTGTTACATAAGCTCCGGGGGCCTCGCGCCCCCCCCACCCCTCCTCCCCCCCCCCCCCCCCCCCCCCCCCCCCCCCCCCCCCCCCCCCCCCCCCCCCCCCCCCCCCCCCCCCCCCCCCCACCGCTGCCGAGCGCCAGACGCGCGGGCTGATACCCGCAAGACAAATGCGTCCCGAGCCCGGCTTTTATCAGGATATATTTGCTCGCATTCCCAAGGTCATCGTAAACATTTTCATTGATAGTTTATTCGTGCGGTGTAGGTAAAACAAGCCACTTGATTTTAAATTACAGATTCTAACCCAGAAGCTTGTTGCTGTCAGATGGATTAAAAGCCGTGAAGGGGGTGGGGTGGGGTGGCAGGAATGCCACAGCGTTGCAGATGTAGCCCGCAGGCTTGGGGGGGGGGTCGTCTATATTTATGTCTTAGAACGGATAAGAAATTTGATTCTGTGGCTCACTCCTGTTTACTTGGCCTGATGCTTTCAGAGTGGGAGATGCAGAATCACTATGTGTGAGCTATGCACCAACGAAAATGTATTCATATTCAAGGAGCTAAGGGGCAAGGCTTTTGTTTGTGCTCTGGAGGGCTCCTAGCATCTTTTAAGATGCTCAATTAAAACTGAGCAATCCCTGTGTTTGTGTAAATGTTTACATCTTTTCTACAAGCCAAGTCTGCATTGTTACTCCCACATGACAGAATAAGACAAAGCCAGTGAAGTTGATATCCTAAGAGTCTTGAGAACTGGCAGCTCTTTCGGTCTCTGGTAATTTGTTTATTGATTTCACAAATACTTAAACAGTGCTACTATGTACTAGACGCAGCACTAAGCCCATTACAGATATCAACTCTTTTGATCCTTATAATAATCCTATGACCGTAGGCTATTATGATCATCATTCCAAGTTTAAAGGCGAAGAAACCTACGTGTACAGGGGAATGATTAATTTGCTCCAGGTCCACAGCTCAGAAGGGGAGAATCAGGCTTCGAAAGCGGGCGGTCTGGTTCCCCTGTTTATGCTCATAACCATCACTTGGCTGTACACTTGTCAAATGTCTTGTGCAAATCTTTTAATATCTAAGCCGAGAGGAGATCTTTTAAAAATAGGCAAAATTTTGGGGTGCCTGGGTGGCTCAGTTGGTCAAACCTCTGACTTTGGCTCAGGTCATGATCTCAAAGTTCGTGGGTTCAAGTTTTGCTTCCGGCTCTGTGCTGACAGCTCAGAGTTTGGAGCCTACTTCAGATTGTGTCTCCCTCTCTCTTTGAGCCTTCCCTGCTCATGCTCTTTCTCTCTCTCTCTCTCTCTCACATATAATGAATAAATACTTAAAAACATAGGCAAAATTTTCATTCGGCAAATGGATTTTTGTGATTATGAGAGAATATTATTTTTGCAACCATTCGAATTATTTACAGACTGAGAAAATGAGGGATTATTGTCATTGCTTCAAGATACTGTCCCAGTGAATGTTATAGAAATCTGCTAAGAATGTACATGTGTGTTGGAGGTGGGAGGGTTATTACAAGACTTCCTCAGTTCCATCCACTGATGGCAATAGAATGTGCAGAGAAAACTCCAATTGGGGCCATTCTACTAAGCACATGACTCCCAGGTGGGAAATTATGCCTTTAATTTGGACCTTCCCTGCTGGTAAAGTCAACGATGTACCCATGTTCCCAAAGCAAATAGCTCCCAGGTCCATGCTGCCTGCACTGGGAACACAGTTACAGTGGATACACATGCATAACATCGCCAGCACAATTTAATCTGGATCTTGGTATCAGGAGTTTGAAGTCAATCGTCAGGCCTGAATATTTCAGAACAACCTAGAATATTTCAAATGTTCTGCTCCAATGGTCCCACAAAAACAAAAACTCCCAGTTTTTAGCCTAAGCACTGTCGTTTTTGCAGAAAATATGGCCACTGAAAATTTAGGGGCTAGGACCAAGGTGATGTGTTCAATATCACAAATTAATTATTTCCTTTTGAAATGCTTTAATGGTGCCCCTTTGTATTTATCGGCTTTTCTTCCTCCAAGGGAGGACTAAACATATTGAATAGAAGTTATGTCTATTGGGGCGCCTGGGTGGCTCAGGCAGTTAGGTGTCCAACTTCCGGCTCAGGTCAGGAACTCACAGTTGATGAGTTTGAGCCCTGCGGCAGGCTCTGTGCTGAGAGCTCAGAGCCTGGAGCCTGCTTTGGATTCTGTGTCTCCCTCTCTGTCTGCCCCTCCCCTCCCCTCTCAAGAATAAATAAACATTAAAAAAAAAAAACCCTGAAAATTACAATTAAAAAAAAGAAGTTATCCTTGTTATGGGAAACTGTTTCATGGATGAAAACACTTGAGTTCCATCTGATAATTCTTCTAGTGATTTGAAAAGGAAGAATAGTGTGTATGTGTTTACAGTATCTGCGACGAGGACATGCAAAGAATCCATGCACTCCTTGGCTTTGCAGTTCTGTTAAGACAAAATGGCTTTAACCAGTTCCACTGTCTTCCTGTGCCCTCGGTCAAGCTTTCAAGCAAACTAGACACATGAATAGAGCACCAACACACACACACACACACACACACACACACACACAAACCAGACTCAAGAAGGAAAAAAATACATTTTTAAGGATTCTATATTTAAGACTTGAAAACACTTGAAACGGTCACCGTGTGGAGAAAAACTCATTTGGAGGACTTTTGTACGCATATTTTATCATCTTGGATATATGTTTTTATTTTAAACTACATATTATTGGAAGTAGAGGGAGTGCATAATCTTTTCAGAGCTACTTTAATCTCGCCCTGGACATGAGTAGAACTAATCTTACTTTGGGAGTTCACATTCACCAGATCTGCCCTACGAACAACGCTGGACTATGGTAATGTACATCTCACACCAGGAACTCTGTTCGGTACACTAGCTCCGACAGTTCGGGACTCTCTTCCTTATCCAGACCCTCATAGGTGGGACCATTAAGAGAAACATTTCCAGTAGGTGAATGCAATCCCAAGAGCATTTCTTGTCCTGTAAGATGGTTTATATTGTGACTGTGTCAACATACACTCACAATGTTTGGTCAACATATTTCAGGTATAGGTGAAATGTCTCGTTCAGGGATTCCATGGTCCTTCAGCAGCAAAGTTGGAACTTGAACCAGACATTTCCATCACAAGACTATCACACTGGCCAACAGCGTTCAGTGAGTGCCTCAGCAGCTGAGGAGCCATTTAGACTTTTTTTTTTGTGCTCAGGAACTACATGGTTCGAGGTGGACTTGGGTTGAGACGTGCAGGTGATGAAGCTGACATCAAGTTATCTACCTTTGGAACCATAATTTTTTTTCTAGCAACCTCTTACTTGGGATCCTGGCATTCCTGGACACAGGTTGGCAACCACTATATTGACCACGGTCATTTTTATTAACCTGTATTGCTAGTTGGTCAGTCACTGCCAATTTTGGCCGGTACAGTGTTTTCATTGCAGAAATGCATTCTTTACTTCCTAGCCTTTTTGCAGTCTTCATATGAGCAGATTTTGAGGTCAAAACAATCACAGCATGCCTTTCAGGGACGGCTCTCATGTTTGAGATTCATCTGAAGTTTGCTACGTCCATATACAAGTATCCTGCCATCAAGCTAATATTGTTGGCTTGGTGTTTGAAAAGCAATCCACATCGGAATGGCAATCGAAAATACGATCAGGGCTTACAGATTGCTTCACTAACAAATCAACATGGAGCCATTCCTATGTCACGAGTCCTCCGTTACTGAGGCCGGAACAGCCCCGTCCTTCAGGGAACTTCCTGCCAGAGAAGAAAAAGACCAGCTTTTCTTAGTGAGTTTTGTCAACAGTCATCCACTGTGCTTTGTCACCAGAGGACTTTTCTTCTGCTTTCTTGCAGCTCTTGTACTTTCTGCTGAGTGCCCTGGGCTTGATGGTCTGCGTGCTGGCCGTGGCGTTCGCCGCCCACCACTATTCGCAGCTCACGCAGTTTACCTGCGGAACAGCCCCCGACGCCTGTCAGTGCAAGCTGCCCTCCTTGGAGCCGCTCAGCAGGACCTTTGTGTACAGGGATGTGACTGACTGTACCAGCATCACTGGCACGTTCAAACTGTTCTTACTCATCCAAATGGTTCTTAACTTGGTCTGTGGCCTTGTGTGCTTGGTGGCTTGTTTCGTGATGTGGAAACACAGGTACCAGGTCTTTTACGTGGGTGTTCGAATGTGCTCCCTAACAGCTTCTGAAAGCCAGCAGCAAAAGGTCTAAAATACGTGCCCAAAGGTGGGAGAGAAAACAGCACACTGACTAGCTGGGGTCAAAAAAGAAAAAGAAAAAAGAGAAAGAAAAGGAAGAAAAAAACCCTTTTGGCAATATCTAATATTCACTGTTGTAAATGACTATTTTTCTATTTTTCAGGAAATAAGAGCATTTCTTCAGGTTTCTATTGCATTTTTAAAAATTCTTATGGGGAAAATAAGATCCAAATTGACTTTGGGGCTTTAAAAGAACACTGACCGGGGAAAGAATGGCATACATCTATTTTTGCAGGCTGGAGTTTATTCCCAATACAGATTACCCCCACCCCTGCTTTCTGAAAGTAGAGCATTCCCATGAAAACTTCCGTAAACCAAAACGGTGTAAAGCTGTTTCGTAGAAGCAAAAATCCTCCGATTTCTTTCATTTGGCGACAGTGGGTGCTCATGTAGATAGTTCATAAAGCCAAATGGCATTAAGCAAACTTTCAGACAGCGGGGAAACCCTGTACTCATATTAGTCATTATTTATATCATCTTCTTTCCTGTTAGTTCAGTTTATAGCATGCACTGGCATTTCAGGCCCGCTTGCTAAATTTTGCAGTCGTTTCCAGAACTTCCCACCTCCTCCAATTCCCTTCACTGTGTCTTGGAGAAAGGCAGGGGCTGGGGGAAAAGCTGAGAAGCCAGGTTGACTTCTATCATTTTCCCCTGGTAGAGATGTCTTCAAGGCATGGAACAGCTTCAAGGAGCAGAGTAGAAAAAGAAGAGACTTTGCAAAGGCTAAATAATTATCAGCACCTGGGCTGGGGTGGAGGCCTTTTCTCCTCAGCTCCCGTAGCTTGGCTCTGTAAGTAGATCACTTACTAAATGCTTTAGATGATTGTCTGCTTCTCAATAATTGAAAGTTGGTGGTAGTTGTATTCTTAATGATGTAGAAGGCTTAAAAATAATTATATTATGCTTCTATTCTATCATCTAAAACAAATCATTAAAACTAATTTCTACCTAATTGTTAATTATAATTATGCTCAGAAGCCTACTTAATGAGCCCTGTCTGTGCTTATGTAGCACCATTGGTATTAGGAGAAATTACTCTCACAAGAGAGAAGGCTTAAAGATTCTTTCTTCTGAAAGCCAAGCTTTACAAGGGAGAAGAAAAAAACTTTTTTCTTATTAACAGCTCAGGTTAAAAATACTCATTTAGACAAAAACAAGAGCGTTTGTAATGGGAAATGTTTATACAAATAGCACATTTGTGATACGTTCTAAAGTATCTCTCTTGGCAGCTAAGTACTTTGGAGGAAGACTGGGTAGTGCCAGTGTGTTCCATTCACAAAAGTGTGTCTGATATGTAATCCCATTATTGATATTTATACGCAGTCAACCTAGAGACTTAAACTAATGTTTTGATGTCCTTATTTGAACAAATGCCCATTGACTTGGAAGGTAATTTTTATTTTGTTTTGTGTTTAAGTTACCGTGACTTAAAAAAGCACAAGTACCCTAGGGTGGGAGTCTTATTATTTGGTTCTGAACACTATCAGTGTTTCAAGGAAGGAGCTCAGAATGCAAATTCATGCAGCCTAAATGTTATCAAGGTCTTTATTAGCATGCTCTATTGAAGTCAGACATTCAAGGTAATAATTGAGATGAATTTGCCTCTCCACATCGCCTATTGATAGTCATGAAATTCTACCCTAAAAGAAAATCATTTTCTTGTGTGCCTTAGAAAATAGTTGAACAATTCCACTGGTTGCGACAACAGTGTCAGTTTCTACACAATATAAATATCCAAATAAAAAGAAAAACACGAAGTCAGTTGGAGAATTGTAAATAGCTTTTATGTCCTCCAGATAAAACACCTGATTAACAGATGTTAAAACCTTTTTTGTATGTATTGACTTGCTTTAAAAATGGCCTTCCTACCCTCCAGCTCAGGCCAAGAACTCACACTGGAGGGCTTAGTGGATGACTCTGGGGCAGGTTTGTTCACACACAAAAACTATACTGAGAGAATGCCAAGCATCCTGATCATGACCTGAAAAAAAAAAAAAAAAGCAATAACTGAATCCATTCTGATTTGGACAGTTTCTGACATAAGGAAGAAAATGACAGAGACTGTTGTAGGCCGTTCTGTAAAGAGTGAGAAACTGATGATTTAATGCTAATTGCTATGAATCAGGTACCATGGGAAGCACACCCTGAATTCCTTTAACATTTTTTTATAGCAAACACTCCAGGTTTTATATTAGAAAATTAAAATTCTACACATCACTAAGGTGCTCAGTGCTTTACAAACGATTCACAGGGTATTTCAAAAGGTAGAATAACTTTAGCTTATATGCTTTCTTTTTCTAAATAATGCAACCAGGAAGGGCTGACACAATAAGTTTGATAATAATCAAGATAGAATATGTGTGTGTGTATATACATATTTGTATACACACATATGTATAGGGGATTTTGCTATTGTGTAATTAAATCATTCTTAAATCTTCAAAGGAAAAACAATAATCATAAGTGAAGGAACAAATAAATAAAGAAGTAAAAAAAAAAAACAAGAGAAGATTTCTGTGCTGTGAACTCACTGAGTATTGATACACGTTAAGAATTGTGTTGCATGAATAACAAACTGCTTTATGCTGGATTTAAAGTATTTTGAGGTTGTGTTTTGCAAATATTGAAGTTACAATAACCGGCAACAGAAAAGGAACAGATACACAGCTTTACACTTAGCAAAATGTTACATTTAAAATCTGACAAGGAGCCAAGATGGTGACTCTCTCTTCTAAACCATAAAACAGTAAGATTTGCGCAATTCTCCTCCTCTTCCACCTCCTTCAGGAGAATTAAATGAATCAAGACTTTGGAAAGAGGGAAATCTGCCGCGACTTGGCAGTACTTGAAATTGGAGGAATACAGCAGCCTAAATGTACAGACTTTGTAACGGAGCCCACTCGATCGGTCTGTGCCTTCACGTGACCACCATCTGTGCCTCCCTCGCTCCGTCCAAATTTGTGGAGGCAGCTCCTTGGAGCCAAGCCTAAAAATATAGCTACGCCAGGCCCTAGAAACTGTAGTCAAGTAACAGGCCTGACTTTTTTCTCTCTTTGAATTAAACGTCTATATGATCTCTTTTGAGGGGTTTCCAGACGCAATGGCCGTGCGTTCTGACAGCGAGAGCCCATTGTGTGTGTGTTTTCTATTCACGGGCAGGACATCAGGATCTCTTAATATTCTTGTACTTCTCCTCTTGCATGCACTGTATCTGGAATATGTTTCTAGATTTCTAGTAAAAGGTGGGGTAGAGGGTAGCCAAGGAAGGTTCTGAACCATGGAGCGGTGATTTAATCAGGAACAAACTTACAAGTTGCCCTGAAAACCAGTCATATCCCATCATGAAGCATAACTTTACATTTGCTAGTAATTGCCTCTCAACTATCGCCATGAAGCCGTTAATTTCTGTAAATCATGCTGGCTATCAGTTTTTACTATACGCAGAGAACTCTGTCATGATTTTAGATGTACACTGAACATTCAGGACAGTGTGAAAGACAGCTGATGGCCAAATATATTGACTCACGGTGGAAACATTTGTTTCGATGAAGGCTCAGTGTTTCAGGCTGTGCAATGAATGCCTTGATTCTTTTCTTCTGATGTTCTCGATTATCTCCTTGATGATCTCAAATGATTATCCCCTTCAGAAATATCGGTCTGCATTTTGGTGTTGTGATTTCATTTTCCTGCCGTTGATGAAATAGTGAATAGAAAACAAAGTGCTTTCTACAGGTATGAAGTGGTTGTTTTTAAAGGAGAGGCATATATGCAGATTTTCTTTGTTAATAAAATTTTCATAATCTCCGGAAACACCGTGTTTGGATGTGCTTTGAAGTACGCTGTACATGAACTTGTGTACAGAAAAACCTCTCAGGTTAGTGTTTACTTCCAAAACCAGGTTTTGAAATAGATGAGAACGAATATTCATTTTGACTCCTCCGTTCCAGGTACTGTCTCTATTTTGGTACCTGCCCCCACTGTGGAAGTCAAGGTTATAAACGCTCCCCAGGCCTGAGCTGAGAAAAGATCTTGCAAAAAGTACTTGGAATGCTGATTCTTAATTTATATCTATTAATGTCAAGTAAAGCTTGGCCTAGAGAAAGGAATACACGTTTGAGTGCCGCACATTCAATCATATTCTACATTTAATTACACAGAAAAACACACGGCCTAATTCCATTTCAAATCCGAATGCAGGGACTCCTTATGAACTCTGAGGCAATTTAAATAGTTGATTATACAGTAAAATGCGGTGGTTCCTTCTGTTTAATTTAGTTAGAAAAGCTTGTAGAGTGTGAAAAGAAAGGAATCATGACTTAGCATACACTCTCCGGGGTGGATTTCCTATCCTTAGTGTTAGGGCTGCAGGTCCCAAGGGGTGGAACTCTGACTGCCACTTTCTGGCTGTGTGACTTTAGACACACCATTTCATGTTAGCTTCCTCGTTCGTACAGGGAAGAAAAACATTAACTGCCTCACAGTATCATGGGGAAGGTTACATGAAATAGCACTTAGGAAAGTAACCGGCTCTGAGACAGCTTAATGAACATTTGGATTCTTCCGTCCTTAGCTGGGTTCTGCTTGGCTTTGATGCTTCTCATCGATGCAGGCTCCACTCCCCATATCCAGCTGGAAAAATGGCTCTGCTTTCCTCTCCCCTTTGGTGACTCCCTTTTTTATAAACCAGGAACATTATCAAAGGGACATCCAGCAGAAATTCGGCATTTTTCTTTAATTAGGCTCCACGCCCAGCGTGGACTCAGGACCCTGGGATCAAGACCTGAGCTGAGATCAAGAGTTGGATGCTGAACTGACTGAGCCACCCAGGCACCCCAGAAATTCTGCTTTTAAAGTAAGATAGCACCAACTCTTATTGATGATAGTGCATAGAATTATGGGCTGGCGGGATTCCTATTTGTTGGTTTACACATCTGGATGTTTCCCAATTGTGGCCATCTTTTCTCGGTTCCTCCCCCAGGAAGACTTACAAGCTGAGGCATTTCTTCTGATTTTCATGTCACTTTGAATTTAGTTTGATAGAAGTGGGTTTAACCCCAACATTTGCAAATGAAACTTCATTGAGCTCTGGTACATTATCAGTCCCTTATATTTTAGGTTGTGATGTACAACCCCTCATTTACTTAAGAACCAACCATCAACCACCTTTGATATGCTTGACTCTGTGGGCATCTCATTCAAGAGTCATAAAAAGGTCTATTTTTGAGCATAGTCAGCAAATAACAACTGTAGCTTCATTCTCTGTGAAAACGCTCATATACATCTTCAAACTTGTGGCATGTGATTGAAATGATACAACCAGAAATCTACATTTTCCCTTGATAGAGTCTATCTTTATAGCTCATAATAAATTATTATATTTATATTAAATTATTTTTTATTTGACACACTCATCTTTTATACATATTAGTCTTTATGAAGTACAGGATTAATGTTGGCTATTTTACTTTTAAAATTCAGATTGTAAGCAAATAAAAATGAAACTAATGTATGGGGGTGCCATCTTGAAGACAGCAACTCAATCTTTCATTTCTTTCCAACAAGTATTTATATATGTTTATTGCTTCCTTCCAAAGCATAGGTTCTGAGAGGAAGTCTCTTTTGTTGTTGTTTGGGAAGGTCGTCAGGAAGATCCTTTAATCAAAGGTACATGGGACATATACTCATCTGTTATTCTTGGGCAAAAGCAGATACGGGGCCATAATCCAGATTTCAACAGAGACACGAAGCCCTATGTTTAACAAGGCTCTCTGGCGGGGGCAGGAGGGAGGGGTGCGGAGCCCTTAAGAGGAGCCCGTGGCACGTCCTGACCCTTCCATAGAAGTCGGCCGGAGAAGAAGGTGGAGGCCTCTGAGATGCGGCCGGGCCCTCCTGGCTGCTGGCAGAAATTGTGGCGCAGGCGTGGCTAATGCCTGATGAGGGAGCTGAACGATGAGATACCGTGGGCAGCGTGAGGGTCTCGAAAGCTGGAGGTTGAGGACTATGTCTCTCTCTCTCTGGATCAGGTGCTCTGCTTATGCTGACCTTCTACCCAGACACCTGGTCTCAGACGCCGGCACCGGGTTGTCCTGCCTGGCCTGAGATGACTGTAGAGGCCACGAGGATGAGTCTCAAGGACCACAGCGGCCCGTGGCACTTCTGGCCAGAGAAGATGACCGCCATCTCATGCCATCCACTCCCAGCTGGCTCTCCTACATCTTCCTACTAATGTTCTAATGGACTGTTGGTGACCCAGCCACCAACAGGCTTGAAAGTGGTGTGCTGGCCACCGTGAATTAGCAGAGATGCAGGAAATAGAGTCTGAAAGTTATGTGACTAAAGTTGTCACTGGCCTCAGTGGAAATTCTCTTTCACTCACGATAGAATTCACGTACTCTTACAAAATAACCAACGATCCCTCAGGTACCTTTATGGGCATGAGCAGACTTTTAAGTTTTTATTAATTTTTTTTTCTCAATTGCAACAAGAGTGACTATACGACTGAAAAAAGAGAGAGATCATTTTACTATTCAGAAGCTTGGGACCAGGGACACTGAACGTGGCTATTAAACTAACGGCTGGGAACCTGTACTCAGGCAAATACGGAGAGGAGTGACATCATAAGTATATTTGGGTTCTGGATGAGGCGACCACAAGTGAAACCCTGGATGCCAGTTGTCCTTGTCTGGGTTAGAGTAGGAACAGCCATCCTGGTGCCAGCCTCACACCCACCCACCATCAGATATGTAAATTGCTTTGGACAGGGGCGCCTGGGGGCTCAGTCAGTTAAAGAATGCGACTTCGGCTCAGGTCATGATCTCATGGTTCGTGAGTTCGAGCCCCGCATCGGGCTCTGTGCTGCCAGCTCAGAGCCTGGAGCCTGCTTCGGATTCTGTGTCTCCCTCTCTCTCTGCCCTTCCCCTGCTTGCACTCTCTCTCTCTCTCTTTCAAAAATACATTTAAAAATTTTTAAAAATTGCTTTGGACCGTTTTGGATAAAATGACCAACAAGGTCATTCTCTGCTCTTCCAGAGAAGAGACTGCTGCCCCTCCCCCACCTCATCCCGCAGCCAAATCTGCCCCTCTCCCATCCCCTGTCCCATTTCTATGACACTCACACGACTCAGGTATCCTACCTCAGCTGCTGGGGGTTAAAACCTTAAATACGGAGATCGCTGTAAACATTATTTTCATTTGCATACGATACTCCTAAAGATCAGAAAGCATCATGAAGCATGATGCCAGGGCAGGGACACCTGCCCACTAGTCCTTCAAACTCAGCCATGTAGGTAGCCACCTACTCTGTCTGACCAGAAGCGTCATAGTTACAGAGCTGGTGGGACTTGGAGAACATTTCCCATTAGCCTCAGCTCTGGCTGTGGCTTGGGAGCCTGTGTGGGTCTGCAGCTGCTGGTTACAGCTGAGCAAATCTCTGCTCAATCTGGTTGGAGGGAAGCCTCCAGAAGTCTAAGGGAAGGGGTTTTCCCTCCTACAAGTTCAGAGAGCATTTTACTGGGAAAGGCAGAATGAGTTTAAGAGGAAAAAAAACAAACAAACAGGAAGAATTCATGCAGAACCTCTTTGCCCCCAGTGTCTAGCTCCCTGGACGTTACTTGTGACAGCTCACCAGGGTTGACTGACTTTTCGCAGACCCCCAGGCTTCTCTGTTCATCCCACACAGAACACCCTCAGAGACTGGCTTGGCTTCACACTGCTGCCCAGAAGAGGACGTGTCAGGCAATAAGCAAGAAAAATGTTCATTTCTGGTTGAAAAAGTCCCAAATTGTAACTAAACGGGGAGATCTTTTTTTTTTTTTTTTTTTTAATTTCCAAAATGTGCTTTTCCCCCAGAGTCCTTGAGCACAGACCCGCGGTTTTCTCTCTCCTGGGTTTTACAGTCTATCCGCCTCAAGCCAAGAGACTTGGCTCTGCTCCCCCTGAGTCAGAGTCTCGGCTGGTAGCTGAACCCAGGAAGCTCTGGCCCCACAGCTCTCCCTGGAACCACCAGACCACACAGCCTCCTGTGCTCAGTCCCTTGGCTGGGTATCCTGCCTCCTCTTTGTTTGGAAAGCGATGTCTTACGTAACTGCGCAACCTACTAAATGCTCCATTGTCTTCCACTTGGGAGAGCTCAAAATAACCCATTAGTGACTTACGACTTATCGCCAAGATAGAATCTATTACCCACAGCCCCACAGCCCCCACGGAGCGAGCCTCACCTATCTTACTTAGATCAATCATCAACAAAGAGACATAATGACTGTTGTCTTTGGGGGAATCATAAGTTTAGGACAAGGTACAGGAAACACAAAGCCTAGTTTATCTATAGGTCACAGCGCTTTGCTCAAGCACCACATGAAAGTCATTTGCAATTCAAGATTGAGACAGGCATCAACAATTCTGATCTGCTGATCCTTTTACTAATCTGATTTTGATAAACAGCTGATGAAAATGGAAGGTGTCTGGTCACCAGAGGAGACATACCCAGGCAGGGAAATCAGTTTCTCTTACCTCACCGGGCAGGGATTTATTTCGAAGTTCCTGTTAACAGTCCACAATGCCAAGAGCTGTGATCCCCACCCTGGACTGCAAGAGCCTTCTAAGCAGAATACAGAAACCCACTGGGTAAGGTCTTCTCCTCCGTCTTTATTTTCTATGAATCTCTGATTAGCCCAGTTGGGAATTCTAGTAATTACTTAAGCTGGCAACTCTGGAAAAAAATATATCTCTTAGGATTCAATTAAAAATGAAAAGAACCTCTGTCTGCGTGGTGTTGCCAAGGAGTTTTCACTGTCTGAGGCAGGGGTGTAGAC